CTATTAATAAGTTCCTTCTCCTAATACTTTAGCAACTTTAGGCTAATTTCTTCTTTATTACTTTCTAAATTATTTATACTAGGCTCTAAGAGAGTAATTAAAGAAGTTAATATCTTTATACCTTTTATTATAAAGTACTATTCTAGCGCCTCTAGCTTATTTTCTTTTAGTAAATAGATTAGCTATCTAGAACTCTCGCAGGTACCTTTAATAATTTAGCTTCCTTCTATATAGTAGTATTCTTTCTTAACTATCTCTAATAGTTACTTATAGTTAAGGTAGAAGTTATACTACTTTCTATAACCCCTCTAGTAGTAAAATGAATTTAAAGGTTACTAGTTTATAGGAGGCACTTCTAAACTCTAATTAGTATAGAAAGTATTATTCCTAAATATATAATAGTTCTAAGAAGAAAGCTAACTAGAGTAGTTTATAGAATGAGAATAAAAGACTTTTACCTTCTCTTAGAAAGCTACAAACTTCTAGCTATTATAATACACATTTCTATATTAAGGTATCTACATTATTAAGCTACTAATACTAGCTTAGTTAAGACCTATTATAGTAAACTACTGTGCTAGATTATTAATCTCACTCTTATAAATAGGTAGGGGCGCCTCCTAAACTATAGGGATAGCTAGTATTACTAGCTAAATAGTTTACAAAAGAGTATAATCTTAACCTAAAGTTACTACTATTAAAAGAAACGTAGGAGCTTTAGGAAATAAAATATTCTTAACCTTTATAGTCTTTACATCCTAAGTCGTATTAGTTAAATACTCGAGAGTATCTAGCGAATTAACTACTCCTAATTACTTAAATACCTAAAAGGACTCTTTAATAAGAATTAACTTATTAACCTCCTCTATTAACTGCTTAAATTAGAAGGATAATAGGTTATAAGTTATAAACTTATACTATTTAAAGAGAGTTTTCTAAGTCTTAATAGGTAGCTTCTATAGAAACTAAGTATATTATAAGTATTAATTAAGTACTCTATTCTTAACGCATTTCTAGAACATAATAATATACTTATAGGTAAAGGCTTTAAGGTTAGTAACCTTAGTTTTATATTTAGAAAGCTACTTAATAAAGAAAGATCGAGTCCTAAAATACTATATAGAGTTATTATCGTAAAACTCTAGCTTAATATACTTTTTAAGTTTAGTCTAATTTTTATCCTTTTACTTCTCTATCCCCTTAATAGTAGCTTATAGCTACTTAGTGTAGAAGTCTAGAAGCCTAGAAGCTCGCTTTCTATTAGTAAGATAGTAGTCTCTTATAGTAGCTTTATACTAACGAAGCTAGTAAGTAGTGTTAATACTATTAAATAGAGGAAGTTCTAAGGAACCTACTATAGGTATTAGCATTTTTAGAGCTATTAAGCGAGATTCAAAATAAGATATAAGCTAATCCGTAATACTCCTTATATTAGAGGGAGACCCTATAGAAGGAGCTCCATCTATAGGAATAGCTATAGGCTTTAGAGCTTCTCTAGAAGAGAGTGTAGGTAGAGAAGTATTCTTATTATTACTACTTAATAAGCTAGTAGTACCTCTAGCTATATAGATTTAAGCAGCACTAAGTCTAAGAGATAGAGTAGATATTTAAGGGGATAAAGAATATATTAAATTAAAAGTTCTAATAAGAGTAAATAGAAATCCTTTAAAAGTAAGTAGTATAATAGTAAATAGTACTTAAAAGCTTCTAATAAGGATATAACACTAATTTCTTATAAGAGAAGAGTCCTATAAATACTTACTAGCTATTTTATAGTAGCTCTAGTAGCTCTACTTCTATTTACTACTTCCTAGATCTTAAAGATGTCTTCTACTAGTTAGAGTTTCATTCTAGCTAGAACATAACTCTATTCTTTTATAGAAGCGAATCTAAACTATCTAGAACTTCCTTATAGCTATACTTAAAATAGATATATAATAATCTTACTAAAAGAGTAGTTTCTAGCTCTTTCTACTAGATACCGTTTTTCTAACTATATATCCTATTATTCTAAACTATCTATACCCTTTATAGCTATATAAGTCCCTTTTAGATCTCTATTTAGTAATTACGCCTAAGTCCGCATATTAATATTAGTTACCTTAATCTAAACTAAATCTTTTTAAGGTTAATTTAATACCTATATTATAATACTAAGTTAAGGGAGTCCTCTCTCTAACTATAGTCTTAGCGCATTAATACTCCATATCTAGTAGAGCCTTTAGGATTCTTAATATTATCGTAATATTAAGTTAAGAGAGTCCTCTCTCTAACTATTATTCTACTTATTAATACTCTACATCTAGTAGAGTCCTTAACGTCGGCGGGTTCTTATTATAATATATCTATAGCCTATATACTATCCTCGATATAAATTCTAATTCTTATAATAGCTTTTAACCACGAATTATACACCTGTATATCACCTTATAAATTCCTCTAGTATAGTTACTAAGATATTATAGGTAAGAGATTTAAGTATAGACTTAAGTAAGTAGGTCGTGTATATTCGTGGAGGTAAGGTATTAAGATAGGGCTATTAAAGCGGTAATAGGATTATAGTAATAGGTTATATAAGGCTAAATAATATATAGAAAGAGTGTGGTAATACTTAATACTATAATGCAACTCATGCTAGCTGTCTTAGTTATTAGATTAATTAATTAATTAATTAATAAAGATTCTCAAACCTCAGCACGCGCACTCTATACTAGCTTCTATGTAATAAACCTCCTACACCACTATAGTATCTCTACTAAGAATATATAGAGTATAAACTAGATTCTAAACTTCTAGAACTACTAAGGGCGCTTTAAAGTACTTATAAATTAAATTAGCTCTAATAAGAACTTCTAGAATTCTCTATACTATATACTAACTGCTTCTATAGAAGTTAATTATTTTTTTATATACTACTTTTATAAGTCTAGCTACCCTTACTAGTTAGAACTTAAGACTTATAGCTACTCTATTTCTCTAGTAGAGTCTAAAAATAACTCTAATACTAAATCTAAATATAACTCTAGCTTAAATACCTTATAGAAATTTAGCTTTTAGAGAGAAGCTACTATTATAATTTAGACTTAGTATTTCTTAGTATTTAGATTTTTAGTTATTCTAGAGTTATATAGCTAAGTTATATACTCTACTTATAGAGTATTCTTCCTATTTTCCTTATTATACCTTCTACCCTTACATAATATCTTATATATTACTCTAAAAAATTAAGTTTTAGTATTAAGCCTTTCTATATTATAATATACCTAAATAGTCTACTAGCTTCATTTGTAATATTTATAGCTATTAGTTCTATTTATTTTTTCTAGTTTAAGAAATTAGAGTCTCTCTAGTTTAAGATATATTAATAGATTAATAGTATTCTTTATTTAGTTTAATAAACTATAATAAAAGATTTAAGATATTTATAAAGTATTATTCTATAGTATACCTATAAGCTATATATTATGAGAAAAGCTAAAGATAAAGTCTTAGTAATAAATAATAGAGCTTGTTATTATATTCTTATATTAGATACTCTACTATACTTTTATTTAATAGTATAAGAATATCTAGTATTACCTACTATTAAACTAAGTTATTATAGACTTTAGTATAAATATAGAGAGCGCTAAGCTAGTAGTAGGTAAATATATCTTATAAAGCGAAGATATATAGAGAAAGAAGTCTAGAGAGGATTAAGAGTAATAGTAGAAAGAAGCTTAGAGGCTCTAGAAATAAGAGTAAAGGAAGCCTAAAGAGACTTAGAATAATAATTAAGCGCTATACCTATAACTACTAATAGCTCTCCACTTAAAAATAGCTACTAATTAAATACTATCTTTAAATAGAAATCTCGCCGGCTATATAGTAATAAGAACTAAAATTTCATTCTTTTTGTAATAATGCAGAAGCTAATATTACTAACCTCGAATCCTTGCATGCGAAGAAACCGAGCCCTAGAGCGAACTATACAATAGCGATTAGGTTCGGTTTCCGATATTGCACACTACCTAGCTTTTGTCCAGGCAAAAGCCACGCAGGTTGGGGCGCGCACTTTACCTATATTGAGCTGGATCCGGGCTAACCAAGACCGTTTTCTTCAGCGTAGTTCATCGTCCCATATACCGCACAAGTTGATTCCCCGCATAGGCCGGCGCGGCCTGCAAGGGTGTACAGGCATCAGCGAAATTGGCTTCCGGTTGGCGCGCGCAACTCAACTCTCTTCCACACCCCTGGCTCATGCACCCTTACTAGATCTATTTTCTAGAGGGCCTTAGCGGCTCAGCCTGATCGTCATGGCAGGATCCAAGGGAGCATCGCAAAGTCTTCTTAATGCTCTTTTCCCAGTCGTTTCCAAAAGGGAGATGTACTCGAGGTCCGCAAGGGCTTGGGATAAACTGTCACGAAAAGCATCACTCGAGACAGTTATAGTGATAACTTTCCAACAAGCCGGACATCAAAACACCAACAAAATGTACAATGTTAATCCCATAACAGTGCAGCTCTCGGAATTTCAAAAGGGGTTCACACATGACAAAAGAAACCTAGACCCTGCAAGGCACATCGACCAATCGAGCAAAGCCGAGATCGACGAGGAAAGCTCTCTATGACCTAGGACAAAGGGGTTCGCGTATGTTTCGAGGCGCGTGCCACAGCATCATTGATTGGCCATGATGCATCAGATTCAATGACCCCGGCTGGATGCTGCGGCTGCACAGCCTGACCGTGCACCCAGCGACAGGAACCCCCTCAGGTTCCATTGACTCGGAAATATGCCTTGCTGCTGGCATATATGATCAAACGTCGCTCTTGACATTCTCGTGCAACTCTACCGTTTTGAATATACTTCTACTCGAGTTATGGCTTCATCAGATGATCAATACTTGTGTAATGGGGTTCCCGTCGACCACCGTCTAAAGCGATTTCTTCCAAGTGCCGAACGGAAGCATTCTCAAGGAGTCGGAAAACATGCAGACATTATCGAGAGCTTTGGTAACACCATGGTCCGCGATGACAAGACCTATCCTTCCAAAAACGAAGCGGGTTTCGCCGCATGGCTCGCCAAACCAGATATGCAAGGTGGTCTTGTAATTGCGCTGTTGCAACCAGCTAAGACACAGGTCTACACTCCAGACTTTCAGTGGGTCAAGGACGAATGTCCTACGCTGGCTTATCTGGAGGAGTCGCTGGCCTTTGTGAACGGCCCGGGAGGTCTCGCAGCCACGAGCGTATTCGATGCTTTTCCATTCATCACCGAGCCAATATCTTCGGGAGGATTGTCAAAAGAAGCGACGGATGCCTACAACACATTCCTTGCCATGCTAGAGGCCAAAAAGCCAGAGGTCGTTTTTGCCTGTTGGCGAGTTAAAGATCAGGACCTCTTCTTCTCTGGAAAAGGGCTTGGTCGGGCCAATCAAGTTGAGAGGTTGAGACTCTCCAATGGCCATGTCGTCCGCGTCGTGAATGGATTCCATCCCAGCTACACGGCCAACTTCTGTCCAAATGAAAGCTGCTTCCGTAGACTATTTACTATGGAGTTGTGCAAGGCGTTTTGCGAACTGAATACAGCTTGGCAAGAAGATGAATGGATGCGCATCCTTAGATGCAGGTGCCGAGAACGAACCCGCCGATTAATGGAAGGTTAGTTTTGCTTTTCCTTATATTGTAGCACACTAACCTCTTTACGGAGAGGGGCAGAGATGGCGAACAGCTTAATAGAGAAGGTGCTCGCGTTCTTCGAAGATCACGGGAAGACGACTCTGCCAGGAAACGCAAGGCATACACCGAATCATTCGACAATGGTCTGCAGCGTCTCAAACAGATCTTTGACCATATGGTCTCCCCGACATATAAATCCCAAAGCTCGTGGGATCTTTATGCCTTTTTCGTCTTCAACCAGAATACATCAGAAGGCATCTGTGATGCTCTACTAGCTGTCTCTGAGGCAATGAAACGGTTCAAGCCTGGTACTTCCATGCCAGACTCTTCGCTCGTAGAGCTCAGCAATCACATCAGCCAGCAAACTCTCAAGTTCCTTAAGGATGATATCCCAGACCTTTTGCAGTATCCTAAGGGCTTATACAAAAATCTCTGGAGTTCCCAGTTTGCGACGAGTACATCTCAAGGGTTGAAGTGGAGCATGGAGAAAACTACGATAACGTTTGTCGAGAACCTCACCAGTTCATTCTCTGAATCATCGAAATCATGGACATATACTCCGGACCTTCTTCACGACGCTTTCAAGGAAATTGCAATCAGCTTCGAGGAGTCTCTGGGCAAAGAATACGACAATCGTCAACAAACCAGAGCAGGAAGTGTTTCGAACAGTGTTGATACTCTAAGCGCATCTCTTTACACGCTATCGCTTTCGAGCTCTCGAGATGCGAGTTCGGAAAGATTGGCTGGAAATACAACTCCTGCAAGATCTTCTTCAAGTGTGATCTGCTACAATTGCGATCAACCCGGTCACTATTCCAGTGGTTGTACAAGGCCTAAGAGAGGAAGCATAACTCCATCAAGATCTTCTTCAAATACCACGTGCTACAACTGTAACCGACATGGCCACTATTCTCGAGATTGTACGAGTCCCAAGAAACAAGGAAAATGCTTTAAATGCGGCGGAGCTGGACACTTTGCTAATGCGTGCAGTGTGCGATGAGAGACGGGCTCAAATGACGCTAGCACTGGCAGAACAGCGTAATAGGAGGATATCGAGTCATTTATTGTATCCTATGTAGTTTACTCCATCCTGTGCAATGAAGCTTATTCTTTATGCATTCCCACGTCTGTCACCGTGTCTATCGCTAGAATTAACGTTAGTAAGGGATAAGGAAGCAGCCTTCGCTAACAAATATAATCTAGATTGAATCGGTCTAGAACTAGAATAAATTACCATAAATTCTAATAATATTTTACTACTTAAACTTTAATTCGCTATAATTATATCTACTTAACAAGTCACGTGCAAGTCACGTGATTTAGATACTTAGTATCATCTTAGTGTCTTAAAAGCGGAGCCTATTCTAAGCGAAGATACGCGAAAACTAAAGAAATCCGGGCTCTATTTGCGAACTTATAAGTACAGGATTCCGGTACGTTATGCAGAGAACAAAAACTATCTGGAATCCATATAGCTGTACGGGGTCCGACCTATTCCATCCGCAGTCAACCCATAAGTGGATGGCTGGAGTTAGTATGAACGAACCTGAGCCGGCAAGGGCAGAGCACCGCAGTATGCCTCATAGCCTAATGAAACTCTATATCTCTCACGCTCTTACCACGTGGAATTCGCGAACGTTCGAGTTCGGAGCCGTTATCTTCCTCGCCGCTATCTTTCCCGGGACCCTATTCTACGCGTCTTGTTATGCTCTCATTCGGTCCATTGCCGCCACCATCTTATCATCGTACATTGGCAACCTCGTGGATCGGACGGACCGCTTGGCTCTCATCAGACAATCCATCGTGTGGCAGCGAATTCCCGTAGCAGCATCATGCGGCGTCTTCGTACTGCTTGCGAAGCTTCGCTCCTCCGGTTTCCTTACCGAGATGCTCTTCGCCGTTACGGTTGCCCTTGCCTGCGTCGAGAAGCTGGCCTCAATGGGTAACACCATCGCTGTTGAGCGGGACTGGCTTGTTGTGATATCCGAGAGTACCGTGGTAGACCTTCAGGATCTAAACGCTACCATCCGCCGTATCGATCTCATCTGCAAACTCGTTGCGCCGGTTGTGATTTCCTTCGTTGACAGCTATTCCACTCTGGTAGCCATCTACGTGATAATGGGGCAAAGCACCCTTTCGGTCCTGATGGAGTACTTCGCAATCGCCCAGGTAAGTCTGCATGAGAAATCCCTCTGTGTACCACCAACTAACTGCGTAGGTATATCACTCCGTACCCTCCCTCTCCCACCCCAAAGAACCCAGCACGCCCGACCCCACCGCCTCAAGTTCACGAGACCGCACCTCCAACCCCGCCTCCACCTCGCCATGGCGCTCCTACACCCACAGCCCCGCCTTCTTCGCCTCCCTCTCCCTCAGTCTCCTCTACCTCACCGTTCTCAGCACCGGCATTCAGTTGACGACTTACCTCCTCTCCTTAGGCTACGACTCCCTCTCCGTTAGCCTGATGCGCCTCGCCGCCGTCGCCGTAGAGCTCTCGGCAACCTGCCTTGCACCGCTGCTTATGGCGCGCATTGGGGCGACGAGGGCGGGGTTGTGGTCTGTGAACTGGCTGCTCTGTTGGGTCGGCGGGGGTGTTGTGACGTTTCTGGGGCTGGGAGGAAATGGTATGGGGGCGGGGGCGGGGGCGGCTCTGGTGGGAGGGGTCGTGGGATCGAGGTTGGGACTGTGGGGATTTGATCTTGCGGTGCAGTTTCTTGTGCAGGAGGTAAGTCACTTCATTAATCCGAAAGAGGGTGTGTATTCTGTCAGTATATGCATACTGACCAACACCTTCCTCCGACCAGTCCACCCCAGCCGCCCACCGCGGCAAATTCTCGGCAGCGGAGATGGCGCTGCAGAACCTGTTCGAGCTCCTATCCTTCGCGTCCACCATAGTCTTCTCCAGCCCCAAAACTTTCAAGTACCCAGTCTTGATCAGCTGCGGCGCCGTCGCCATGTCTGCGTGCTGCTTCGCTGCGTTTGTTAGGCAGAAGCGGGGCCATCTGCTGCACGCCTCCAAGTGTCTGAAGCGGAAGGAGTATGTCGCGGTACCGCAAGTGGAATTGCAAGAGCTCCGGCTGGACGAGGATGTAGAGCACGGCCGGGATTGAGCATGTGGAAGAGCTCTTACGACCAAAGCTACGTAGAACGAACTCTCGCAGCCGTTGAGCCAATAGCTCTTACTTTTCATCGAGATCTTGAGACCCTCAAGAACCCTCTTCGGTAAATGAAAAGAAACTCTCACACTCTGGCCGCAAGCTCGCATACTGTGCCTGCTGGCACAAACTGACTTTTCATACATCTGAGGGTATCTTTTCTCGCTATTCATTCCCGTGCCATTTCCCGTGCCACGTTCCCGTAAACGCACTAGAGCACAACTTCGACCCTCTGCCTCTTTGGCGTGCTCTCCACCTCCATGACACTCTCCTCGTCACCTTCACCATCAGCACCGTCCTCTACTTCATCACCCGATTCCAACCCGATCCCCTCAGCTAACTGCTCGATGAGGTCATCCGCCTCATCGCTTTCAATGTCAACAAGTCCTCCAAATCCATCCGCCACACAGGAACTCCTACTCTTCACTTCTCCGCTCCTTATCCCCTCCTCCTTCCCACCAGCCTCCTCCTCCACCACCTCTAACCCCGCCTTCATCAGTCCCCCAACTGACCCGCCATACCCCCTCAACGGCCTCTCCGCCAAAACCGCCCTCTTCACTTCCGCCCGATCTCGCTCATCCGCCACATGCTCCGTGACTCTAATCAACGCCCTCCACGTCTTCGGATCCCTGTTCTCGTCCACGCGCGCCAGCTCGATACCGTTCAGCGTCTCGAGATCCAACGCCTCAGCGCGGTGGTCGGCCCAGAACCAGGTCTTGCCGTCTTGGTGGGGGATACGGCGGTCGTGCTTGGTTGCGAAAGCGCGGGCGTGGAGGGTGCCGTGAAGGCCGGCGGTTAGGTGGGCAGGTGTTGTTATGGTTGCGTTGGTAAGGTTAGCGAGGCTGCTGGAGGCGCTGTTGGCACTGTTGGCGCTGCTGGCGGAAGAGATTGTCGTGGGGAACCAGAGGAGCAGCGCTTCGGGCTCGAAACACCGTCCGAGGATGCGGTTGAAGGGGACGCGCCAGAATCTCGAGGGGTCGTGGAGGTGGTACCAGTCCAAGCTGTCGTCAAGACAGGAGGGCAGTAGGCCGGATGCGGGATCTATAGACGCCTTGAGGGATGGAGCGGCGCGGGATGGGTCGATGGTGTATGCTTTGCCGGTCACGTAGGCGGCGGTGTTGTAGGGGCGGCCCTCGTCGTTGTCGTCTGAGCTGGCGAGGTCGAGGTTCGAGAAGTGCAATTTGATGGAGGTGATTTCGAGGACGTCGCTCACGGGAGAGGCGGGGGCTGTGGGCGTGAGGCGGACGGTGTCGCCGAGGAGGACGAGTTCGGAGCCGATATAGATGCCTCTGCAAGATATAGCCGCGGTAGGCCATTGGCCTTTAAAGTGGAATTTCTCGAGTAGAGAGAATGATGACATGGCTGTAAACGCGTGCTTAATGGTGGGATGCCACTTGTCTTCAGGTATGCCCCTGAGATATTCCTGCCAGAACATAAAGGGCCGCGTCTGGTGTAGCGGAACGTATTTGTACTGTTTCGATAACGATTTGTCCTCGCTGTTAGGATTAGGCAACGGCTCCACCCGAAAGCCGGAGTAGTTGACCTGGTACTCCTTGGGTGGCTCGGTAACCAGGTCTTCAATGCTTACATCCTCCGCAGCTGCCTGACCCACCACGCCGGCTTCCCAACGAGGATAATGGTTGGTGAACTTACCAAGCTTTTCATTGAAGACGCGAAATTCCTTGGTAGCTTTATCGTAGCAAATCTCTTCGTTCTGCTCGATCTTTCGCACGAAGAGGACAATCTCTGTAACTCGCGGCATCCACCTCGGTTGCTTAGAGACTTTATTTAGGAAAGCAGGCAGAGATTTTCGCTCGGCACGCCAATCCATGGACATGTTCTCCTGAACGGGTTCGTCGACGCTGCCCTCCCCTTTCATCTTGTCTATCAGATTTCGGTATACATCTGGATTGCCTTCATCATCCGTTTTGCCTGTGTACAGCATTTTGGGTCTTCCTAGCGCTAACGCGATCGAGTTAGATGTGAATAGAAACAGACTGAGGTGAAGCCTGCAACTTACGCTTCGGACCAGCTCCGCCAGAGACTTGAAGCGGCCTAGAAAGCTTGGGATCCTTAGACTCAATAATCGGAATTCTACCTCCTACTGCGGCACAAACTGTGCAGGGACATCCAAAGCTGTCGCCATCGTTGTCCATGAGGTGCAAGAAATGTGGAAAGAACCTGTTCGGCGAATCGAAATACCTCTTGCTCGGGTGGCCAAACAGCCACTTGTCGACCAATTTCGGGTTGCCTGGCCGCGGCTTCCCATACAGGGCGTAGCCATCGGGAAGTCTGTCCAAGATGTACGTCTCACCAGGCACGGTTTCCCCTCGGCTTGTCATCCATAGCGCTGCGAGCTTCTCGAGGTAGATAGTTGGGGGATCAATCGGCCAGTGAGTAGCCACAGTAGGTCGGTGCGAAGGATCACCATCGGAGCCTGAGTTGATTGGGACGACTACCATGTCGAAAGCGCCGATAGAAACTGACGATCTCGAATAGGTCATAGCTGGAGAATGCCTGGCTTGAGATTGGTTTGCATGCGGTCCCGACGCGTCAGAAAAAGTCGCGTTGACGCGCTTTGTTGGCACCCTGAGTCATGCTAATATGACAGGGGTTATGGAACTGTCTTTGCCAGTGGAAGTGTTATGCGACAGTGACAGGAAGAAGATGTCGTGAGCAAGCCTCAAGCAAAGAGCAAGACTCTGTCCAGGAGCGGATTAACGTGCTGGCTCTCACATATCATAGCCAAAAATAGTAATGAGACTACTACTGTGAGCCAGTTCCCACGCGTCGTAGCTCGAGTTGATAATGCCTCAATTGTAGATGAAAGGTTTGGTGGTCTCTCTGCGTGAGTTGAAGTTACGGGTTCACGTGACATGCGCCCACTTGCTTGAGAGCTAGCACTGCCCCAGATCTGGAGCTTTTGCGCCGGATCCAAGTCCTGAGATCTCGTCGGTGTCAGTCCTCTTCAGGAAAGGCTTCCAGCCACCATCTCGACAAATCAGGCTTGCTTCCTTTTATGGTGGGTGAAGTCAGAGGGCCAGCGTGATAGTTTGACACAGCCCCATTCTTCATCCTTCGAGCCATGCGGACGGCACGCTGAAGCAAGATACAATATGGAGAACCTCCCCGCCTTTCAAACCTCATATCTCCGACGCCCCTGGAAGAGGGAAGAGACGGGTTTCGCTGCCATGACAAACACTTGACGGGAGTTCCCTAGTGGCTTCTTGGACTTTGCCTCTGCCTCTGTTCAGCAAGCGGACGATGGTTCGACCTGGCATACTTCGATACCATCACGGCTGGAATTGACATCTGTCCGCCACTGACCCCACCGGGTCCAATTGACCGTCCTCTATCATGGCGATGGAGATGCAGACCTTCCCCCCTAGAGCGAGCAGGGGTCAGCCATCTGGTGCCCTCTCGTCTCCCAACCGGATAACCACGCCAGCGGCTGCGCGCCTGTCCGTCATACCAGAGAACAACGATGCCGCCGCACCGCAGTACTCCTCGCGGAGCTCCTACCGATCCCCATTCAGGAGGACTGCCCCCGGCGCAGCGCCTAGCGAGAGCGCAGACGACCTGACCAATGCGTACTTGGAGCGTATTCGAGGAGAGGGCTCGCCGCCGCCTCCGTACGACAAGCTGCATGCGTTGCGGAACAACAAGTATCTGGCAAAGCGCGGAGGGTGGAAGCGGTTCTTGCTTATCTTCGTCGGGGTGCTCCTCGCGATCGTTGCAATCGTTGTCGGCGTAACGGTAGGATTAGCAAACAAGTCGAGCGCTAGAGAGTATACACATCCTCCGCGGTAGACCTGTCAATCCCACACTAACGCACCACCTCAGTTTCGCCGACGCCGAACCCTCTGCTTTCCCCACCCCCAGCACCTCCCCCGCCCCCAACTTCCCAGCAGGATCCTACTCCCTCCCCCTTTTCCTCGACGAAGTCGTCACAAACTGCACCTCGAACCCAGCAACCTGGGCCTGCTACCCATACACCACCTACGCCGACTCCCCCACAAACTCGCGCGCGACCTTCCAATGGATCATCTCCTCCACCGATTCCTCCTCCCAGCCATCAGAGAACTCCTACATAATCTCCAGCAC